ACATCCACCCACCTGCTGTTTGAAATATCGCCGTTCCTCCTCATCCACAAGGACAAGGTTGAGGTAGTATCTGACAGAGAACTTCTTATTGATGTCCCGCATTGTTGGAGTGAGATCATACCCAGCTAGGAAAACCCGGATGGGTATGGATTCGCCTCGGACTGGTGCTCCGTCCATGATCTCATATTTGGCAATTGTTTCATTCTCATTGAAAGTATTCGGGCCTGTGTGAGAAACCAACACCAGCCTGAATTCTACTGCCATAATTACATTTTCAGGACATATTTCTAATCTTAATCCTTTTGTGTTAAGTGATGTAGGTTATCCTATTTGCTATAACCAGCACTCTAGTAAACACGGTAAAACACATCCTGAGGCATGGTTCACAATATTACAGTAAAATTAACACTGACTATGGCCAGAGAGTGAATTCTTAACTCAAATCCAATGGGTATGGCATATGCATACATGCCATACCCATTGCAAGTTTACTTATAGTAATTATAATGTCTATAATAAAAATAACACCATTAATATTAATAGAATTAATTAAAAAAAAAAAAAAATCCCAGCAATTCAGGGAGAGGTGAAATCAGGTAAGGTCACAAGGGCTACTAATTGACTCCTTTGTGGCTAAGAACTTGCAGAGCCATTTCACAAAAAAAAAATTAAAATGAGCTCAGCATTTTCCCAGCGGCATTGAATTAATACCACTTGACACTGTGACTTTAACCAAACCTCAGTTACAATTTTATTAGCATGCCTTCAAAATAATTTTCATACATGCAAATGTCCATAAATTGAGAATCTTAGGCAACCTCTTTTCCTTCTGTAAACCTTTTTGACAAGACACATATCTAAACATACAGAAACACATTTTTTTATTCTCTCATTAACTATTACTATCCAACTTTCTTACTTCCCCTGAAAGTGAACTCATTCTTATCACAGGTAGAAAAAGAAAAAGCATAAGAAATGTATACAAGTAACCAATCAAAAGAGATATGGGATATAAAACAGAATCTAACGCACCTGATCCTGTTGTCTCTCTCTTGATGATGGCAATTTCCATGTGCTTGATCTTGATACGAACCAAGAGGAAGTATATTTTGCCTACAATAACATCTTTCAAGTGGTACCTGTAAGTAATGACAGCAGGCAGGATAGTTTAAATGTCTACTCTCTGAGAGAATTCCTGGAAACTACATATTGATTTCTATTGCCAGGAATACTGGGAGCAAGTTATCATTCCTGCAATAAATAGTTTTTGATTTCACACTGACTTGTTTCTTTTTAAAAATTTACTCTACAACTGATATTCCATGTTCTGAAATCATTTGATATTGAGAGGATGGACATATAAATATATAAACATTACTTTATTAGTAATTACTACAAACAGCACAAAAAAATGAGAAACAATGAACAAGCATATTTGGAAAATGGCCAGCCCATACTTACTTTGATTTATTATACTCAAATTCTATGTGAAGACAGTCTTCAATACCAACTTCCATCTTGATAGAGTTGTTCATTTCTGGGTATGAGGAGAGAGTATGCACCAACAGGTCCATTTCTCGAACAATGTCAGATAACCTCCTCACAATTGTTACTCTGAGAAAGTACCTGAAACAAGAGATACTTTGTGATTATGGTTTTCTACTATGACTGTAAAATCTTTACTGTTGTAAGTCAAATGGTTTCCTGCTTTTAATTAGTATTCAACACACTTACAAAATTGTCAAATAGATGTCCTGGATATGGAATCTGCATCAAACAATATAAAATACAAAAAAATGTTTGGGGTAAGTCAGGTCCCAGGAACATCAACATTGTTTCTTCACTTGGCCTACAGAGTAATAATTGTTACCATTATACCATAAAAAAATAAAGAATAAAAGATGTACAAAAGGAGAAAAATGTACTGCTGTCCTCTAATACCTGAGTCTGACATTAGTGCCAGAGTATGACTCATATGGCTTTTCCACCTGGTTGAACTCGAACTCAAAAGAGCCGTTCTGTGTGAGTTCCCCAGGTCTGGCCAGTTCCTTCACCAGTGACGTGAATTCATGGTGGTTGCCTCGGTCGTAGTACAGCTCAATCTGGCCGACAAACTCAATTTTGATCCCCTGGTGTTCCAAGCGACTACCTGGCTTCTTGAGGGAGACATTCACCTGAGAGGATAACATGAGATTGTGTAAATGGTTTGCTAATTAAACAAGATATAAATTCAACAAAACTTCCTCTAATTGTGACAATATTAACTCTCCCAAGATATCATTAATTTCCCAGATGCTTTACAGATCACATCTCACTAATCAAAAAAACTTCCCCTAACCCTATTGACACTACTAACCTTTCCTGAGACACTCTCTCCATCATAGTATAGATAATATCGCTCCTTCTTTCCATCTTCTGTTTTCATCTCTGCCATCTTCCTTGTGTCTGATCCATCCAGCTGGATCTCGATGTCGGCACTTTGGCCGAACCCAAAAAAACT